TTTCTGGCATCGCCGCTATAAAAATGTTATTCGTTATCCTTCCTCCATGCTTCTTTTTCTTTATTTTCGCCATACCCTGCGCATTCTCCCCATCCTCCTCAGCTCTTTTTTGCGGAGGCTCCTCCTTGGAGAGCCTGTGGGGGCCTCACAAAAGTTGTTTCAGGCTTTGTTAAGGGCTTCTGGAGACCTCCTGGGCGTATTCTGGGGGCCTCCGGGGGCTTCCTCGGGCCACCCTGCTTCCAACCGCGGTCTCCCTGAACGACCGGGTCACGATTTGGAATTCTTCGGAGGGTGCCTTTGGGCCATCTTGTGCCGCCATGTTGTGCCGCGTTTGAGGACCATCTTGGACCCGTGTTGTGCCGCTTTGGGGCTCTCTTGGATTGCCTGGAAGCCCGTTCGGATGGTTGTGGGGCGATTTGGGAGCCTCCCAGGCGGCTTCGGATGCCCAGGAGACCGCCGTCTTGGGCCCGAAAAGAGGAGAACCCCAAAATTCACCAAACACCCACAGAGAATCAATGATTTTTGCCTCGGGGGGCCTTCTTGGGAGTGCTCTTGGAGGCCTCTTTGGGGCCGTCCTGGAGGCCTCTTGGGCCATCTTGAGGTCACGTCGGTCACTCCTGGAGCGCTCTTGTGCTGTCTTGGGGGTCTCTGGGACGTCTCCGATGACCCCCCTGATCGCCCTAGGTGTGCTGGGAAGGCTTGGCAAAGCGCCCTGCGAGGCCCAGTGGCCGCTTAGAGGCCCGTCTGGAGAGTCCCAAAGCCTCAGATCCCGGGAGTCCGGTTTTTTTCCCAACCCTCCTGCGTTGGGTTCTCGTTTTGAATAGAGCACTGCTCGCGCGAACCTTCCCACCCCCTCCCGTCCCTCTCTTCCCCCCTGCCTTTTACCTGGCTCGTCGCTGCGTTTCGAGGGCTGCTGGGGGCTGCGATCTGTGAAACTGTCGCCACTTTCGAGGGCTGCTGGGGGGCCCAGCACAGTGTGCACCCGCGGCGGATTCAAATGGGACCTCGCCATCCCTGGGGGGCTGCGATCTGTGAAACTGTCGCCACTTTCGAGGGCTGCTGGGGGGCCCAGCACAGTGTGCACCCGCGGCGGATTCAAATGAGACCTCGCCATCCCTGGGGGGCTGCGATCTGTGAAACTGTCGCCACTTTCGAGGCCTGCTGGGGGGCCCAGCACAGTGGGTACACACGGCGGACTCAAATTGGACCTCGCCATCCCTGGGGGGCTGCGATCTGTGAAACTGTCGCCACTTTCGAGGCCTGCTGGGGGGCCCAGCACAGTGGGTACACACGGCGGACTCAAATTGACCTCGCCATCCCTGGGGGGCTGCGATCTGTGAAACTGTCGCCACTTTCGAGGCCTGCTGGGGGGCCCAGCACAGTGGACCCACGGCGGACTCAAATTAGACCTCGCCATCCCTGGGGGGCTGCGATCTGTGAAACTGTCGCCACTTTCGAGGCCTGCTGGGGGGCCCAGCACAGTGGGTACACACGGCGGACTCAAATTGAACCTCGCCATCCCTGGGGGGCTGCGATCTGTGAAACTGTCGCCACTTTCGAGGCCTGCTGGGGGGCCCAGCACAGTGGGTACCCACGGCGGACTCAAATGGGACCTCGCCATCCCTGGGGGGCTGCGATCTGTGAAACTGTCGCCACTTTCGCGGCCTGCTGGGGGGCCCAGCACAGTGGGTACCCACGGCGGACTCAAATGGGACCTCGCCATCCCTGGGGGGCCGCGATCTGTGAAACTGTCGCCACTTTCGAGGCCTGCTGGGGGGCCCAGCACAGTGGCACCCACGGCGGATTCAAATGGGACCTCGCCATCCCTGGGGGGCTGCGATCTGTGAAACTGTCGCCACTTTCGCGGCCTGCTGGTGGGCCCAGCACAGTGGGTACCCACGGCGGATTCAAATGTGACCTCGCCATCCCTGGGGGGCTGCGATCTGTGAAACTGTCGCCACTTTCGCGGCTTGCTGGGGGGCCCAGCACAGTGACGCCACACGCAGATTCAAATGGGACCTCGCCATCCTTGGGGGGCTGCGATCTGTGAAACTGTCGCCACTTTCGAGGCCTGCTTGCGGGGCCCAGCACAGTGACGCCTCCCAAGTAGCTTACACATCAAGTTTATTGTCCTTAGAAGTTTCGGCCAACTCCTCTCTTCCATTGATACAAATGGGTTGGGTACGTCACAGGGTAATTTGGGGGGGGACGGGTTCTCCCCCCCGCCCGGGCTCATAAAAAAATAGAGAGAGGAATGTGTATGTATATAGATATATATATATATATATACAAGGTTGCAGTGGCGCTTCACGCCATGCACCCTGGTCCTTGAAGTTTGGCACGCAGGCGGAATAGCAGGAAAGTCAAACCGACAATTTAACGATAACTCCTGGTTGCCTTTTTCCGGCATCGCCGCTATAATAATGTGATGCGTTATCATTATTCCATGCTTATTGTTCCTTATTTTCGCCATACCCTGCGCATTCTCCCCATCCTCCTCAGCTCTTTTTTGCGGAGGCTCCTCCTTGGAGAGCCTCTGGGGGCCTCACAAAAGTTGTTTCAGGCTTTCTTAACGCCTTCTGGAAGCCTCCTGGGCGTATTCTGGGGGCCTCCGGGGGCTTCCTCGGGCCACCCTGCTTCCAACCGCGGTCTCCCTGAACGACCAAATCACGATTTGGAATTCTTCGGAGGGTGCCTTTGGGCAACCTTGGGCCGCCATGGGGCTCTCTGAGGGCCATCTTGGACCCGTGCTGTGCCGTTTTGGAGCTCTCTTGGACTGCCTGGAAGCCCTTTTCGTATGGTTGTGGGGCGATTTTGGAGCCTCCCAGGCGGCTTCGGACGCCCAGAAGACCGCCGTCTTGGAGCGTCGGGAAGCCGAAAAGAGGAGAACCCCAAACTTCACCAAAAACCCACAGAAAATCAATGATTTTTGCCTCGGGGGGCCTTCTTGGGAGTGCTCTTGGAAGCCTCTTTGGGGCCGTCCTGGAGGCCTCTTGGGTCATCTTGAGGTCACGTCGGTCACTCTTGGAGCGCTCTTGTGCTGTCTTGGGGGTCTCTGGGACGTCTCCGATGACCCCCCTGATCGCCCTAGGTGTGCTGGGAAGGCTTGGCAAAGCGCCCTGCGAGGCCCAGTGGCCGCTTAGAGGCCCGTCCGGAGGGTCCCAAAGCCCCAGATCCCGGGAGTCCGGTTTTTTGTGGGGGGGGTGACGGGTTTTCCCCCCGCCCGGGATTATAAAAATATAGGAAGAGGAAACACACATATACATATATATGTGTATATATATATATATATATGGTGCAGCCTATGCGGCGCTCAACTCATGCGGTGCCATCAACGTGGTGCACTTCAAGTGGTGCAATGTGGTGCTATCTGCGCAGTGCGGTACATCCCTCTATATACATATATATACGCATATATTTCATAGAATGGTGCATTATTTGTGGTACCATATGTGCGGCGCAACCTACTGTTGCAATATATGGTGTGCCAGTGTGCCATCGACGTTGACCAATAAATGCTGTGCATCCTACGTGGTGCAGTTTATTTGGTGCAAGCAGTTTTGTTTGCAGTGCATTGTCAATTCCATTGTTCGCGCAATCATCCCACCACCCCGCACGCAACTTGGTTTGCAAAATCCATGCCGCGGCGATTGCGATGACTGCGTGGCGCTGGTTGGCGCATCGTTGCGGCCGCACAAGCGCGCGCAGGGTCGCGCACAAAGCTGCCAGCTAGATTGGTGCGACCGACGCGGTCGCGGTGGCGCTGACCGCCGGGGGCTTCCCAGCATGTTTCGCAGGCCGCGCTGACGCGCGGACACTTCAGTGCGAGTCGATGCCTTGGGCGGGCGCCGTATCATGGCGACGCCGACAAGGGCCGACACGATTATGATTGCAACGGCGCGTGCGATGTCGAGGGCGATGACGACGGCAAGGCCAATGACTGACGGCACCGATGCTGACCACGCCGATGACGATGATGGTGTCCACGCGTCGACGATGAAAATTGTGAAAAATAATTGAGACATGTTCGCGAGGCCGACGCGCGAATGGCCCGCAAGGTATCGTTTGGCAGGAATCGTGCTCCCCCAGCACGCCCGCAAAGGCGTTCGAATGAGTTCGACATGCGAGGGCGAGACGCACGTTTGGTCGAACGCGATGAACATGTTAAAGACAATGTGTTCTCCGAGTTGTTGTATGTATATATATATATGTATCGCGCAGACAGTTGGTTGACGTGCGGTTGTGCTTGATATGCGTTCGGGACACTCGGTGTTGAAACCGTTGTCACACCTACGGCGACTGAAGGATTCGCGTGCGCGCGCGACGACGCGCGCGTAAGTTATGTCGTCCAGTCTATTGCAAGGGACGTTTGGAAGTTTTTTTTGATAAACGAGTGTGCGCGCATAGTTTGCGTGCGCCAAGTATGAGAGGATCAATACCGGCTGGGTTTGGATCGTACGGTTTGAACGACGGGGCAACACCACATGTAATTTGCACACCCCCAGGGTGCACGTTTAAGTCGGTTGTCGCTCGGGAAGGCGGTGGAATCGAATTGGTTTCGCTTACGAACGAGAATCTTTCTGGTGCAATATAATTACGGTGCCATATTGGTTGTGTCATTTAGGCGGCGACGAGGCGGCGACGGGTCGGCGACGGCGACAGCATAGCCGCAAGATGAGAACCAAGCCCATACGACAGGCGGCGACAGGGAGGCGACGCCGACAACATGCCTCCAGTCCAAAACACGCACACACACACACACACACACACACACCACACACACACACACCAAACATACACACATGCACTTACACACACACACACACACACCGGTGCCTCATTCCAGAAGCAAGAAGTTCCCAAGTGCAGGCACTGATTTGGAAAGGTCTCTGTGCTCCTCGAGCCTTGAGATCGTTCCTGGAACAGCTGCTGGTTCCAAAGGCACTTCGTGGTAGGCCCGTAGGCATGCAGGGACGGTCGGCCCCCTCTGCTCCAGAGAGGAGGGGCCCGCGGCGGCGGAGCCGCAATTGCCCGCCGCCTACGTCGGCAAGGCGGCGGCCCTGGTCATCAGGAGCCACGGCCAGCGTTCAGACGCCAACAGACCGCTTCGGCAGCAAATCCTGGGAGCCCATCCTCCTCCTCCTCCTCCTCCTCCTCCTCCTCCTCCTCCTCCTCCTCCCTCCTCCTCCTCCTCCTCCTCCTCCTCCTCCTCCTCCTCCTCCTCCTCCTCTTCCTTTTCCTCCTCTTCCCCTCCTCCTCCTCCTCCTCCTTCCTCCTCCTCTCCTCCTCCTCCCTCCTCCTCCTCCCCTCCTCCTCCTCCTCCTCCCCTCCTCCTCCTCCTCCCCCTCCTCCCCAAGGCTCCCAGAAAAGCACCAGGAGAGTGCCAAGAGACCGCCTCCTCCCCTCCTCCTCCTCCTTCCTCCTCCTCCCTCCCTCCCTCCCTCCCCCCTCCCTCCCTCCCTCTCGCCCCGCCCTCCGCCCTCCCCCCCTCCCTCCCTCCTCCTCCTCCCTCCTCCCTCCAGCCGCCTCCTCCCTCCCCCCTCCTCCTTCTCCCTCCTCCTACTCTACCTCTTCCTCCTCCCACCATGTGCTTAGGGAATGACCAGAAGCATTACCTCGTGTGGCCTTCAGAGCCCCGAATCGTCAGGGCTGGGGGCGGTCAGGGATAGCTACAGATTCGCGCCTCGGGGGCCCAGACTGGAGGTACCCCGGAGCGCAGGTATCCCAGATAAGTCGCGCGTCCAAGTCCTCGTAGCTCCGTCTTTGGAGTGCGCTAGCGTGCGCTAGCGTTTGGTGATCGATGAGGACGCGCCGATGCAGCGCCAATGTGCGTCGACGAGTTTCGATAAAACGTCAATCCGCGTCGACCGGCGACGATTCGCGACAGCCATCAATCAGGAGGGAAAGAAACACACACAGACACAATTAATCGTCTATTCCCCTGAAAATATAAGAAAAAATAGGAAGTGGGGGGGAAGACGAAAACACCGAAAATATAGGAAAATGTGGGGAAGCTTGTTACTTGTCTGTATTTATGTGTGTGTCCCAGGGCCCCTTCACGAAATGCACGCTGGATTCGGCACGCCTTCCGTGTTCGGCGAGGCGCTCGTTGCCACAGGCAGGGGCCGAGACCTGGCGCAGCCGCCTCCGAGGCTCTTAGGCCCCAGGCTACCTGGATTCAGGAGGGAAAGAAACACACAGACACAATGAATCGTCGATTCCCCAGAAAATATTGGAAAATATGGGAAGTGTGGAAGAAGACAGAACCCCAGAAGGTATAGGAAAAGATGGGGAATCCTTTTATTCGTGTGTATTCACTTGTGTGTCCCAGGGCCCCTTCATGGATGGGGTCCGAGTGGATGGGGCACGCGGATCGCGCCGCCGGCTCGATGCGGAGCCCGATGTTCTTCACGCCCTCTGCGCCGATCATCGCCGACGTCGCCGGCGCATCGCCGCTGCGGCGCGACCCTCCGCCGACCGCACTTGCTCCGTTCCACTTCCAGGAGGCCTCTGTCTACACCTTAGGCGATGCTTAAGAAAACTTAAACTTTCGGCCAGAGTCTCCATTATTCTTAATGTTTCAATGTAAATCCTAATGTTTGAATGGGAATTCTGGGTTTTATTCAAGTTCTGAGACTATGAATTTCTTAACCCATGATTTCTTAAGCATTTCGCAGGGTGTAGAGACCCAGATCTGAGACGACGCGAGTCTTGCTCGACCGGAGGGCCTCTCCTCGACTTCGGCCCTCCGGGGCCGCCCATTGGGCCTGGGGAGGAGCAGCAAGAACAGGTCTGAGGCGAGAAACTGCCCCTGGTAGGGGAAGCAATCGGGACTCTGTGGGGCCGCGGATTGAAAAGGAGAGTTCGGTGGAGGTGCGGGAGAGGGCCCCAAGGGCGAGAGGTCTAAAAAGCAGTGGAGAGCTTGGGACCCCTCTCCCGTCCGTGGGGCCTCTTCTTGGATGACAGCGGGGGCTGCTAAGGGGGTTAGAAAGGTTTAAAAGTGGATACGAAGTGCTAAGGTGAGTGATAGATATACGATATGGCCTAACCTAGTTCATGGGTGGATTGCAAGTGCCCTGAGCGGCTCACAGGGGGGCAACCTGGGCTACGTGGGCGGAGCCCGCTTCTTGGAGTTACCTAACGCTTGTATGTTACTTGGGGCATGTGTAACCCACCCACCTTCACATCCACTTATGACCCCTCCTGTCCCCTCAGTAACCACCGCGGTAATCCAAGCACCCCTGAGGGCCTCATCTTTTAGCCCCCCGAAGGAATCTGCCTGGCGACGTGAGCGAGGACGCGCGGGAGTCGGAGGAGAAGAAGCGGCACGAGAGAACAGTCAAAAACATAGTAAGGACGCGCGGGTTTCCCAGGGTACCCTTGCGTCCTCACCTCTGCGGCCCGTCCTTCGCGGTTGTCATTGGCCAGCCCTTCGGGGTGCTGGCAGTCCGCCGCCCAAAGAGTACCAACTTCGGCGTCCAAGGCCCTTACGTCTTTACCGCCCGTCCGTACTATAGATTTCGTCTGTACATTTTTGGAGGCTCGCGCGGCTTTTCTGGGGTCGGCTTACGTCGGGCACGTCCCCCCATAGGAGGAATACGCAACAATAATTGAAAACAAATCTGGGGACGATGTCTTGGTTATTGTTGTTGCATGTTCGAACGTGTTGGGGGCAGTGCTTAGTTCTTGTCCAACATCCGCCTGCAGGGGGAACGCGCCCGACCGCAGGGTCGGCGCTGGGGCACCCCCGGGGCGGCGCCTCCGGCGCCACCCCGCGGCGCGCTCCTCCGCGCCACGGGGGGGGGGAAGTGAGAAGCTCGGCCTCGGCATCGCTCGGACGTGTGCATTTTTCCTTCGGCGAGGACCATCGAGGAGCATCCTCGATCATTTAGCGAAAAAACCACGCACGAAACCGAAAAAAACACAGGAAATGGACGTCCGAGCGATGGCCACGGGAGGAGGGAGGGGGCGGGGGGGCCAGGAGCCGCCTCCCCGAGGGCCGCGCGGAGCCGTCGGAGAGTTGGTCTGCTCGTGCCGCTGCTCTTTTTGTGCCGTCGCTGCCAGATCGGCGGCGAGCGAGGGGGGGGAAGTGAGAACCTAGGCCTCGGCATCGCTCGGACGTGTGCATTTTTTCTTTTGCGAGGAGCATCCTCGATCACTTGGCGAAAAAAACACGCACGAAACGGAACAAAAAGCACAGGGAATGGACGTCCGAGCGATGGCGAGAGGCTCAAGTCGGGCCTGTCCCTCCAGAGGGTGAGTATTCAAGAGCAGCCAAAACAACTAGTCTGGGCACGATGCTTGAACCATGTTGGGGGCATGTGCTCTGTATGTTTTTGGGCTATGCTTTACTTGTCGTCCGAAATCCGCCAGTAGGGGGGCATGCCCGACCTAAATCTTGGCCTCCTAGATGGGGTCGGAGCAAATCGGGTCGGAGAATCGCGAGGCATCGACGATGCGGCTCGATGTGGAGCCCGATCTTCTCCACGCCGACACCGTCGTTGTATCGCCGACGTCGCCGATACGTCGCCGATGTATCGCCGATGCATCGCCGATGTATCGGCGATGTATCGGCAATGTATCAGCGATGCGGCGCGACCCTCCGACCCCATCTACTCGGACCCACTCTAGGAGGCCTCTAGAGAAGGAGAAGGCATCTCTCGGAAGGCGGTGGGACTTCTTAAATTTCCTCGCGCCTTCCGAGAAGTTTCGTTTCTGTGTCTTCGGGAAGGCTCAGGAAACTGCTCCGAAGGCCCGGGGGACTTCCGAGCCATCTGAGAAGGCCGTCTCCTTCTTACTTCCTCCCCTCGCTCGCCGCCGATTCGACAGAAGGCACCTGCACACAACCACCGCCAGGCCTGGCCAGGGCCATCCTGAGCCCTGGCACGGCGTCCGCGCGCAGGACACATCTGCGCACACCATTCCGAGGCTCAGTGGGCCCTGGAAACGACAGGGCCGTTTTTAACCGGTTCCGTTTTGCCGTTTTTTGTTGCTTGTTCCGACGCCGTTGTTTTTACCGGTTCCGTCGCCGTTGTTTTACCAGCTCTGGCTCTGGTTCCAATTTTGGAGCCATCTTTTGCCGTTTCGGGTCGCCGGTTTTGTGCCGTTTCAAGTTTCGAGAGACACGTGTTCGGCAACGGTGACGAAAAACGGCCCTGCCGTTTCCTGGGCCCACGACAAGCCCCAGGGGCCCCGAAGAGCGCACCTGGCCGGGCGTGGCGGACGCGTGCAGGTGCCCTCGATCCCTTGGCGGGGCAGGAGAAGGTCGTGCAGTTCCTCGCCCCCGCGGGCCGGGTGAGGTCGATCCAGTTCTTCGGCAAGCGGGGGGCGAGCGCGGCGGCGACGACGGCCTTCTGCGAGTTCCACGACCTGGAGACCGCGGGGCGCGCCGAGGCCCAGCTCCGGGGGGCGAAGCTCGAGGGCCGCGACCTGGCCGTCAAGTGGCCCAGCCTCGAGCCGGGAGCGCCGCAGCCGCCGCTGAGGGCGCCCGGCGCGGCAGGTCCCACCGCCGAGGACCGGTCGGTGACGCGTACCCTGAGCTTCCAAAAGGTCCTCCTCCTCCTCCTCCCTCCTCCCTCCTCCCTCCTCCTCCCCTCCTCCCTCCTCTCCTCCTCCCTCCTCCCTCCTCCTCCTCCTCCTCCTCCTCCTCCTCCTCCTCCTCCAAGAATTGAGCACCAGGACATCGACGTCCCAACTCCTGTCGAGGTTCGATGTCTGGAGTGCTACTGCTCAGCACCCTGGAAGGCCAGGGCAGAGAGTGGCCGTCCGCCGGAGTGACCTCCGGTGCGGGCTTGCAGTGGCCCCTCCAGCAGCGGCTGGCGCCGATGGAGTTGGAACTCCCCGCGGCCCCCTGAAGCCGAGCGCCGGAGGTCACTCGTGGCTGGCTTGGATGGCCGCGGTGGTTGCGGAGGGGACGAAGGGGGGCCACGTGTGGATGCGAGGGTGGGTGCTCCGACCTGGCCGGACCTGGCTCAGAAGTGCGCCACACCCGCCCGAACTCAAGAGGCGTTAGAAGAGCCGGCTCGCCCTCCGCCCACAGCGCTGCCCTCCCGTCAGCTTGCCAGGGCACGTGCAAGCCACTCACGAGCCAGGTTGGGCCAGATGCAGCTGGCGTGTGCATCCACTGAAAGACCCTTTTTCTCCCTAGCATTGCCCGCAGTCATCCCAGTATAGGCTCGCCCTTGCATGCATCCGACAGGAGCCCGCGGATGCCCCGTGGAAGAGGGTGCGCCGCGGCCGAAAGGCGGACGGGGACGAGGGCGGGAAGCCCGGGCGGCAGGAGGCGGACGTCGCGCAGCTGAAGAAGGACGCACGGATCGACCTCAATTCGGGGGTTGCTGAAGTTGCTCCTGGGCCAAGGTGCCCCCAGCTTTTCCCTCAACTTTGGGGCCCCTCGGGCCCTCTGGGCCTCGTGAGGACCCATGGCGAAGACGAAACGAAAACGCAAGACGCCGTCTTGCTCCGTCCCTGGAAGGACGCCTTCGAGAAGATCCAGGCCCTCGGCAAGTGGAGGGACGACGAGCGCACGCGGCAGAAGCTGAGGCAGGTCGTCGACCGGATCGCCAGGGAGGCGGAGGCGCACCCAGGAGCCCGGCGGGGCCTGGTGGGGGCGGGGCCGCGCAGGGGCGGCCGCCCGAGGTGGCCCAGGCGGCCGCCCTCGTCGGGAGCCTCGAGACGGGGGTCCATGCAGATGGGGGTCCGCCAGGGCGCCAGGTCTTGCAGGATCCTGCGAAGACCCCCTCTTGCTGACCCGGGTTTGCGAGCCGCTCGTGGCCGCGAGGCGGCCGCGCACATGGGCTGACCCGGGTTTTTGCGAAAGCCTGCGTTGGAGTGTTTTTGTTCCTGCATTGCGGTTTTTTGGTTTCCTGCGGACCCGGGTCTGGACTGACCCGGGTCAGAAGATCCCCGACCTCGGCCCAGACCTCGTCCCGTCGTGGAACACAGGTTCAGTCGGGCATGTCCCTCTACAGGAGGAATGTGATGGGGCCGATTGTTCGCCTATGTTTGACTATGTCTGGAAAATGTCTTGGCAATGTTTTCATTTGTCTTCCAAAATCCGACTCGAAACAAAGGCACGACAGACGCAGTCGTTGATTTCACATGGGGCGCACAACGAAGAACGGATTCGGCTGCGCCGACATTCGCGCACAGGCTTCCCGCGGACGGTCGCTCGCAAGCGCCCTCTTCTCCAGTGTAGCGTCCCACGCTGGCGGCTCGCGTAATAAGCCGCGGCGTCAGTTCGCCGTGCCATCTCGAGAAAGACCCCTCTCTCTTCGGCGCCCACACGCTGGGCGTGAAGGCCCTGCTCGTCGCCTTCGGTGAGGCCCCCCCCCCCAGAGGTAGGTGGGGGGGGCGCACCAGGCCCCGGACCCGTCGGAAAACGACTCCGGATGGACAGCCAGCCCCGGGGGTCGGGGGTGGACAGAACCCCCAACAGTGACACGTCGATTAGTGAATTGTCCGTTTTCGGTTCTCGAGAGGGCGCCGTGGCCGTTATTTTCCAGGCTTGCGCCCGCCAGGTTTGGGCCTCAGGTCGTTTTCACTAAACCACGTTTTACTAAAGGGGGGTCTGTCCATCCCCGATGGGGGGAGATGGACAGCCACTCCCGGGGGGGAGGGGGCCCCGATCTCGAGGGGTCGGAGGTCTGGGGCCCCGCCCGGGCCCACGCACGGCCAAGAGCTGCCGTCCGAGGCCCGTCTACCCTGGCCCGTCTTTCGGGGCGGCTCCGGCCGCAGCGGCAGGACGCCCCCCGCGGGGAGGCAGAGAGAGGGCGGAAGGCGGCGGGGAGCAGTTGTCCCAGACATCCGAAGATACCGACCCTATACTGAAGGGGTGCGGCGACGACGAAAGCGCCCAATGTGGGCCGTTTTCGTCGTCGCCGTCGTCGTGGTAGTGGTCGTGGTCGTGGTCGTGGTCGTGGTCGCGATCCGTCGTGGTCGCGATCGTGGTCGTGGTCGTGGTTGTCGTGGTCGTCGTGGTCGTCGTGGTCGTGGTCGTGGTCGCGGTCGTGGTCGCGATCGTGGTCGTGGTCGTGGTTGTCGTGGTCGTCGTGGTCGTGGTCGTCGTGGTCGTGGTCGTCGTCGTCGTCGTGGTCGTCGTCGTCGTCCTCGTCGTTGCAGCGCCCGTGGGACGACGACGACGACGACGAGGACGAAGACGACGACGACGACGACGGCGACGGCGAAGCTGACGCTATCGAGCCGAAAGCTTCTCCCAGGGAGGGGTTCTCTCCTCCAGGGGGGTTTACAACCCACGGGCACGCCTCCCAGGCCCCCCCGGGACCTCCCCCCTCCCGGCGGGGAAGGGATCACAGGGAAGGGGCTTCCCTGGGACTCGAGTACTGCGTTGCTCGATGTCCCTCTGGCTGGAATGCTTGAGGGGGAGCGACGACGACGACGACGGCGGCGACGACGACGACGACGACTACCACCACCACCACCACCACGACGACGACGGCTCAAACGGAAAAGTGTCTCACACACACACACACACACACACACACACACACACGCCGACAGGGTCGGCGGAGCTCTTCAGTCCGCGCCCCAGCGGCCCCGACCCCTTCCCCGGGCCCAGCTCGTCACCTCGGACCCGGGGGTTGATGGCCATGGAGCCCATCACGGGCCCCATGGGAGGGGAGGGGGGGAGGATGGGGGAGGAGGAGGAGGAGGAGGAGGAGGAGGAGGAGGAGGAGGAGGAGGAAGAGGATGAGGAGGCGAAGGAGGAGGAGGAGGAGGAGGAGGAGGAGGAGGAGGAGGGGCCGAAATCGAAGGAAAAAGCCCGGATTGAACAGAAATACCGCTGGAGATCTGGGGGCGTCTCAGCCGGCCCTGCTCCGAAGGCTGCCCTCCACGGGCCCGCGGGCAGTCCCGGCGGTGCGGCCTCGGCGCCCAAGCCCATCCACCCAGGGCGCCCGAAGCAGGAACAGACAGAAGTTGGCCCTTCGCGCCGTCGAACACAGGCACGACGGACGCGGCTCAAGGTTCGAGGATGTTTGGCCTTCGGGAGCCCTCCTCGTCGCCACGGCTGGACGCAGCTGGAAAAACTCGTGCGTTCGGACCGTGGCAGGAGTCTGGGGACCCGTTCGAGCGGATTTTGAAACCCCCTCGCTTCGATCGATGCCCAACAGCACATGTTTCCCCAAACCGGCAGCGGCCGCTGTCGGGCAGCCGCCCGTCTGTCTCAATAGGACAGCGTCCGCGGCGACGCCGACAGCGAGTCCTGCCCAGAATGGGCAGGAGCTGCTGCTAGTCTTCGTGCCCATCCCTTCCGTACCCATCTCGACCACACCTATCTTATCCCGAGCACCCGTCACGAGGCCCGGAGGGCCCCAAAAGGGGTTCGAAAGGCCTGGACACCCTGGGCCAGGGACAGCCTTGAAGCAGCACCCGGACGCTGGGCAGCGCCCAGCCGTGCTCCGGGCGCGGACGAGAGGCCCATTCCCCAGCATCCGGCCGCTCCACGTCTTTCGAGGCGTGGGCCACTTCCCGAGGGCCAGCTTTCTGTCTGGAGCCGTTCTGCGACGGGTTGACCCAAAAGGGGGTCCAGCGACAAGGGGATGGTGCAATAGATTTGGTGCAATTGATCTTTGGGGTTGCAATACATTTGGGGCGTGCTATACATTCTGGGTCGCAAATGAATTTGCCCACATCCTAAGTGGGGTTCTTGTTTTCTCGGGATACCCCGCGCAGTCCTCCCTCGCCCCCTCTCGCCCTCGTCATCAGTCACCCTCACTCACACTTTCGCGAATCGTCATCATCAGCAGAATCATCTTCATCATCATCATCATCATCATCATCATCATCATCATCATCATCATCGTCATCATCAGCATCAGCATCAGCATCAGCATCAGCATCAGCATCAGCATTATCATCGTTTTCATCAATCACACACTCACTTGCACTCACACTCATTCAATTACACACGCACACGCACACTTCTCATCGTCACCATAACCATCATCACTCCTTCACTCATTCACTCACTCACCATCATCATTCACTCACTCATCATTTCGTCATCACTCACCCCTGGCATGACAATGGAGGATGTCTCAAGCGGGAGCCTCGTTTGTGAGTGAATTGCGAGGAAGTCTCAGGCGGGAGCTCCTTTCCTAAGGGGCCCGCACTTCATATTCGAATCCGAGGCGGGTCATCGGCATCTTGTAACTGTCGTCACTTCTGGGCTCTTCAGGCATGAATATGGAGGGAGTATCAGGCGGGAGCCTCGTCTGTGAGTGAATTGCGAGGAAATCTCAGGCGGGAGCTCCCTCCCTAAGGGGCCAGCACTACATATTCGAATCCGAGGCGGGTCATCGGCATCCTGTAACTGTCGTCACTTTTGGGTTCCTCAGGCCTGAATGTGGAGGACGTATCAGGCGGGAGCCTCGTCTGTGAGCGAATTGCGCGGAAGTCTCAGGCGGGAGCTCCCTCCCTGAGGGGCCCGCACTTCATATTCGAAGCCGAGGCGGGCCATCGGCATCCTGTAACTGTCGTCACTTTTGGGCTCCCCAGGCCTGAATACGGAAGAAGTATCAGGCGGGAGCCTCGTCTGTGAGTGAATTACGAGGAAATCTCAGGCGGGAGCCATCTCCCCAGCTAAGGGGACAGCGCTTCATGTTCGAATCCGAGGCGGGTCATCGGCATCTTGTAACAGTCGTCACTTCTGGGCTCCTCTGGCCTGAATGGAGGAAGTATGCGGGGGGAGCCTCGTCTGTCAGTGAATTGTGAGGAAGTCTCAGGCGGGAGCTCCCTCCCTAAAAGGCCCGCACTTTCTGTTTGAATCCGGGGCGGGTCATAAGCATCGCGTAACTGTCGCCAGCTTTGGGCTCCTCAGGCCTGAATATGGAGGAGGTATCAGGCGGGAACCTCGTCTGTGAGTGAATTGTGAGGAAGTTTCAGGAGGGAGCTCCCTCCTTAAGGGGCCCGCACTTCACGTTCGAATCCGAGGCGGGTCATCGGCATCTTGTCATTGTCGTCACGCTTGGGTTCCTCAGGCCTGAATATGGAGGAAGTATCAGGCGGGAGCGTCGTCTGTCAGTGAACTGCAAGGAAGTAGTCTCAGACGGAAGCCCTCTCCCTACGGGGCCCGCGCTGCATGTTTGAATCCGAGGCAGGTCATCGGAATCTTGTAATTGTCATCAGTTTTGGACTCTTCAGGCTTGAATGTGGAGGACGTATCAGGCGGCAGCCTCGTCTGTGAGTGAATTGCAAGGAAGTTTCAAGCGGGAGCTCACCCTCAAGAGGCCTGCACTGCATGCTCGAATCGAGGCGGGCCATCGGAATCCTGTAGCTGTCGTCGCTTTGGGGCTCTTCAGGCCTGAATATGGAGGAAGAATCAGGCGGGAGCCTCGTGTGTGAGTGAATTGTGAGGAAGTCTCAGGCGGGAGCTCCCTCGTCGTCATCGTCGACGTCGATGTCGGGTCGGCGTTTTGATTTTGGAGTCTGGTGGCCGTTCGGGGGCCCCGGGGCCGTCGAACATTGACCCAGGACGAAGAACTGCGCCCGATACATGTCGCTGGAGGGCAGTGGATCGATTTGGAGGACCGACGTCTGAGGAAGGGGTTTACGTCGAGGTTCGAACTCTCAAGTGCAAGAGTCGAGGTCCAAGGCTTTTCGGTCCCCAGGGCCCTCCTCGTCGCCACGGCTGGCGGAGAGGGAGGGGGAGAGCGAGGGGGGCGAGGATGAGGAGGACGAGGAGGACGGGGAGGAGGAGGAGGAGGAGGAGGAGGAGGAGGAGGAGGAGGAGGAGGAGGAGGAGGAGGAGGAGGAGGGCTGTCGCGGAATCGTGTAACAGTCGCCATTTTTAGGTTCCCGAGGCTTCAATTTGGAGGACGCATCAGGCGGGAGCCTCCTCTTTGAGTGAATTACGAACAAGTTTCAAGCGAGAGCCCCCTCCCTATGGGGCCTGCAGATCATGTTATTAATCCGAGCGACGCACAGCGCCTCGGCGTCCCCTTCGTTTTCCTGCAGGCCGTAGACGAGTGTGGTGCGATTCAAGGCGATCCAGACGCGGGCCGTCGCCTCCTGAACGTCCCGAACATGCACAAGACGGGGGATATCCATGGCGTCTTACCGGCACACGTCGGCACGGAGGTTCGGTTCACGGCCGCGCAGGAGGAGTTGAAGAAGAAGTTGGGGGTCGCGCAGGAGCAACGGGCCACCATCGCATCCTTCGAATTTCACTTGCACGACGAACGGGACTACGAGAAGCGCGCGCCTGGCCAGCTCTTTCGCCGCCGCTACCTACCGCAGGGAATCTGGCTGCAGGTCCACGGTTTCAAGGAGTCCCCGATCGACAAGGAGGTCGGCGAGCTGCTGACGCAGGGCGCCGAAGGCGCCGTCGAACACGGCGAGGCCGAGGCGCGGGCGAGGAGCTTGCTCATGTTCAGGCCCAGCGAGCAGGAACTCACGTGGCAGAGCTCGGGGCCGCACGCCGCGCGCCGCTCGGGGCCCACCCTGACGCGCGCGCCCTACCGGACCTCCTCGCTGCCGCAGGGCCAGACGCTGCGCAAGGGCGTCACCGTCGACTGCACGACGGGCGAGGACGCTGGCCGCACGGGCACGTCGGGCGAACAGGGGCGGCTGCACTTCTACGCCAAGCTCTCCCGCGCCACGCGCACGCGGAACACGGTGATCCCGTAGCCGCCCTCCCGCGAGCTTCTGGGGCGCGGGCCGTCGGCGCCCTTGCGGGGGGCGCCCAAGAAGTTCGAGGAGAAAGCGAAGACCTCCAGGCGTGAGGCCGAGCAGCTTGCCGCGGAACTCGGCTCCGTGCTGCCTCCCGCACGAGCGCCGCGGCGCGCGGCTAAAGGCCCGCGGGGTTGCCCCAACGGTCTGGCCCGCGGCGTTGCCCCGACGGCCTGCCCCCGCGCCCCAGCGGCCCGCGGGGTTGCCCCAAAGGCGTGGCCCGCGGAGCTGCCCCAGAGGCTTCGCGAACCAGCCGTCGGCGAATGCGCGCGCGCTGGCCGAGGCGACGACGGCGCCGAGGGAGATCGATTTACTTGCCCCGTCCAGGGGAAAGGGGGGGGTTACATGGAGAAAAAGCAGGGGAAGGACGACGACGGGGAAGGGATTGGGAGAGGGCGACGATGATAAGGCGGTGGAAAAGGAGGAGGAGGAGGAGGGGAAGGAGGAGGAGGATAAATAGAAGGAGGAGGAAAAGAAATAGTAGGAGGAGGAGGAGGAGGAGGAGTGGGCAGAGCAGAGGGCGAGAGGAGGGTGTCTACCAGGGCGAGGAGGAAAGGGCTAAGGGCCTTTTCGTGCGGGGTCCTTCCGTCGGAGTAATGCTGGTTTTTCGCGTGCGACACATCAGTTGAAGACACTGTAGTACAATTATCCATCGCAATACATTTGCAAAACAATTGCTGCACCACCCCTTTTCAGTTGAACCCCCTTTTGGGCCACCCAAACTCCCGAGGGCCAGCTTTGCGTCCGGAGCCGTTTGGCGACGCTTCCGATGCCCAGCGAGGGCTCCCAGGAGGCCGAAAGCGGCCGCAAACCGCCCGCCCCAACTTTTGTTTGGAGCGTCGGATCTCCAGGTCTTTCCCTGCCCTGAAGTCGGGCGTGTCCTTCCACAGGGGGGGTATTCAAAACTAGTCAAAAAAATAATAGGGGGACGATGTTTGACTCTGTTTGGCTATTGCTGGGCATCGTTTTGGCAATAGATTATTGTTCTTCCGAAATCCGATTGAACAAAAAAACACGTATGTCAGGAGACCGCATGAGTCCTGTTAATTCGCCAGGAAGTCTCGGGCGAGAGCGCGAGTCCGAAGTAAATTATGAAGAAGTCCCATGCGAGAGCGAGAGTCCTGAATGGCGAGGGCGTGGCGCTTCACTTACCTGCGCGGAAGTCAGGGGCGAGAGCGCGATTTTTGGATGAAACGTAAGGACTTCTCTAGCGGGAGCGCGATTCTTCAATACATTGCGAAGAAGTATCAGGCGGGAGCCGCTGTTGTTGTAAACCCGGGGCCGACAACAAAATTTGAGGAGGAAAACGTTCCCTGATAGAAAACAGGGTGCGAGCCCTGGGAGGGGCACTTCATTGGAAAAAAACACGTATGTTACCGGAGGGGGGCCAACTATGGTTATTCTTTAGTTGTGAAAGTTCAACCACAAACAACAACAAACAACAACAACAACAACAACAACAACAACAACAACAACAACAACAACAACAACAACAACAACAACAACAATAACAATATCAATAACAATAACAATAACAATAACAAGAATGATAAAAGCAGCAGCAGCAACAACGACATCGACAACGACAACGACAACGACAACAACCAAAAGCACGCCGAGCCCAAGAACAAAAGCAAGCCTGGCCCCACCCGAGAGCGCGAGGCGGAGCACCCAGGGAGCACCGAGCCCGTTCAGACGCGGCTGCCGCGTGCAGTCGACGTTCGTCGAAGACGCGGGGCGGGATGCCCAAGGAGCGGGCCCCTTCTTGGGCCTGGCGGCAGCGGTATGCACATTGGGCGAGGCCATTCGGGAGCTCTCCTTTCAAAACCCAACAGCCCCAGCCTTCAACGGGGAGGAAGACGCAGACACAATGAATTGTCGACTCCCAGGAACGTGTGAACAAATGTGGGAAGTGGGGAAGGAAGGCGAAACCCCAGTCAAGATACGGAAAGATTGAGAATCCTGGGACCTGTGTCTATTTACATGTGTGTGGTCCTGGGCCGCTTCCTTTCTCAAAACCTAACAGCCCCAACCTGTCCGGTTCGGAAAAACACCAGCGCCTTCTTCCTCCTCCCCTTTTCGGTGAGCGATGGCGCTGATCCTGTGACGGCTGGATGAGGCCCAGGCCTCGCCACGGGGCTGGCACTTTCCGTGGGATTCCCGTTTTTTTCTGGTCGCCGGGACCTCTTCCTTGAGCGAGAAATTTTGGAGCCAGTTGGGGGGCCGAGGTGGTCCAGCATTAGCCCCGGCCAGCAGAACGGAGGGGGGAATGGGGCCCCCTGGTCGCCACGACCGGACGCGGCTCGAAGAACTGTTCAGCTTCGGCCCCGCGAGGGGCCTGAGCACAGATTTTGAGCCAGTTTGCCCTCCCCCCCCTCCTGAACAGTTGTCTTGGGGCTGTCCCAGACCCCCTCGCCTCGAGCAAAAATCGTGACGGGAGGTCTTTCGCTGTTTTCGGCCTCTGGGGGCCCCCACCGGGCTTCGGGACCGTCGAAAAACGACTCAGGATGAAGAGCGGGTCCCGAGGAAGGGGTCCAGGCCCCTGGGGGTCACGTCACACAAAAATCACGACGTCGAGGGTCGGGGGTTCTCCGGCTCACGACCCCCTGGCCGCCTCCAAGCGAAGGAGCCAGCCCCAGCGAGTGGATCCCGACCGTCAGCGGCCTGATCAACTCCGTCCTGGGGGCCCGGGGGCCGCAGCTGTGCAGCTGGCTGGAGGAGCACCTCGGCAAGTGCGCGCCGCCCGACCCGCCCCAGGCAGCCGCGCCGCAGACGTCGCCGCCACCGGCACCGGCGCCAGCGCTGGCGCCCGATGCCTCCGAAAGCCCTCTCCGCTTTCGGCGGCGAGCGAGGGGGGCAAGCGAGAAGGGGCGGGCCGTCTCAGAATGGCCCAGAAGCACCCCTTGCCTTCCGAGAAGTGTTCTATAGGCCTTCCCCGAGGCCACAGGAAGCGTTTCGGAGGGCGCGAGGGCGTCTGTGAAGTCCCGCCGCCTTCTGAGGAGGCCTTCGCCTTCTCGTTTCCCTCCTCGCTCGCCGCCGACACTGGGACGACCGCGGAGGCTGCTGAGCGGACGGGGGCGTTATATTAGTTGAGGCCAGCTGGGGGGGTGAGACGGCCCGGTCCTGAATCTGGCCAGCAGCACGGGGGGGGGACGTCTTCGGGCCCGGGGACCGTCCAAAACGGGGATCCTTGGGGTGTTGTAAAGGCTGCACCAGATGGACCTTGGGAAGGGGCCGGGGGACCGATTCTGAGCGGATGTGGCTCCACGGGTCCCATCCTGACTGGCTTCCTGCGGTCCCAACCAGCTCAGACCGTCTGACCGCCTCCAAGTTACGGTGGGGGCGTTGGTTAAAGAATGTGCCCAGGAGGTTGCAGACCCCAGAACCCCAGAGGATCCCTTCTTCTTTCATGAGGGCGGCGGTGATATCCGTGGCCAAGCCTCAATTGGAGGTCCACTCGCCTCCAGAGCCTTGATTCCTTATCTGAGGGTTCCTTATCCAATGCCCCCACCGCCTAGGCGAATGTAGCGGTGGGCTGTATCTGGTCGAGCCTGACTTACAGAAGTCTTCTCAGTGGGCTGCAGGTGCCCTGAGCGGCTCCGGGGGCCTATAGGCAGCTCCGCCAAGGTGGGCTCCGCCCCGTGCAGCCCAGGTCTTCGGCCCCCATGAGCCGCTGAGGGCAGCAGCATCCACTTGGGAGCCTCCTTACACCTCGGTCGTCGAAAGTAGGTATTTTTTGTTCAGGAGGGGAGAAAAACACACAGACAAAAACACACAGACACAATTCATCGTCGACCCCCAGTAAAATATAGGAAAATGCGGGAAGTGGGAGGGAAGACGAAAACCCAGAAAATATATGAAAAGACTGGGAATCTTTGGATTTGTGTGTATTTATTTGTGTGTCCCTGGGCCCCTTCGTTTTGGGATGCCCAGATTCCAATCTACTTTAGGCGCCGCCTTCCTACATACTTCAATGATCGAGTGGCTTCCCCTCTTCCCTCCTCTTCAGGGGGCGGGCGGAGACCCACTCTACTTCCAACGCCCTCGTGCTTCATGGTTCTGCCCACTTCTTCCGACCGATGGGCATTCCCCTTCGCAGCTTCCGCGGCCATCCAAGTGCACCCCTCGGCCCTCCCCAGATGTCCGACGGTGTGCTTTCTCCACCGGGGCTCTTCCTCGACTGCGGCCCTCGGGGCATATGCTTCCAGGCCCAGGGTCATCAGCACTGGATCCGGGGCCCCGATGCGCGGGCACTGCAGCGACGAGCATGCACTGGTGTTCAGATCCCTGAGGGGGGCTGGCGGTGCCGCACGCGGCGTCGATGTCGCCTGGCATGGCCCTCCTCACTCCACCAGTTGAACATCACTTGCTGTGAACTTTTCTGTGCTCCCGTGTCGTCGTAAAAGAGATTATCCCTTGGGAAGCGGTCGGGACCTTAGGGGTTTTGCGGGCTGAAGAAAACACATCGGCGGATACCAGGGTCTTCCCCCTTCCCCAATCACCCTCCTCCGCCCCCTCCCCCAGCGTTCCCCTTTCCCGCCCCTCCCTCCCTCCATCCTCGTCCTCCTCATTCTGGTCTCTCGCACTCCTCCCCCATCCCACCCCTCCCCTCCTCCGTCCGTCTCTCCTCGTCCTGCCTCTTCTGCTTCTTCTCCTCTCCCATATCCTCATCAGAATTGCCCATACGCTTTGTGCTCCGGCCGGCCACGGGCGCTGTCAGCGCCACTCGAGCCGACTGCTTACGGGCACATGGAAGATACACATTGCGGCATTATGTATCCAGATGCGGATACAAATTGCAATCAAGTATTCATGACCTCTGGCCACCTCATCCGACTTTTATAGCACTCTCGAGCTAGACCAACGAAAGCGCGATCCTGCATCGCCCACGCAGGTCCACTGGCGGGGACCCCCCAAAAACATGTAAACATGCTTGCCAGCGCGGACCCCATAAAGAAAATGATTAGATGTTGGACGCGTAATTGCCAGGGCAGCCCGCTCTCTCTCATGTCCCTCTGGTCCCTCCCCCCCTCGAATCTGGTCATGCACAGAGGGTTTCCTGTGATGCGCTGCGTGACATTCGGTTCGATGCCCTCAAAGCGAGCGGACCTCCACGCGACTTCGCGGTGCAAGGTGGGTAGTACAAGCTATGTTGTGTAAGTTATGTGGTATTAGCTATGTGTGAAAGCTATGTGCAAAAGCTATGTGGTGAGGGCTGAGTTGTGCAATTGATTTAGAATAACTTGAAGTCGTCAACTCCCTTGCGCGTGCAAACGTCCCACGCTCCCACCCGCAACTCCTTCGGCAAAACCCATGGCGGCCATGATTGCGAGAACTGATTGGGACTTGCTAGCGCATCTCTACGGCCACGCTGGCACGCGCACGCTCGCGCGCAGATCGGCCAGCTGGTTTGGCTTACCTGCTGCGGTCGCGATGGCGCTTACCGGTCAGATTTCCCCAGCGCGTCTCACAGGCCGCGCTGGCGCGCGGGCAAATCAGTGCGGGTTGGTGACTCGGGCGGGCACGATATCATGATGACGTCGACAGTGGCGGCAGCCATAACGATAATGATGGCGATGGTTGCGGCAATGATGACGAAGACGACGGCTAGTCCAATGGCGCCGCCGATGCTAGCGACGACGATGAAGATGATGATGTCGATGTGTCGGTGGTGGAGGTGATCGTGCCGAGGATGGCAGCAACGCTGGCCAATGGGGATGCTGATGACGGCGGTGATGTGGCACTGATGCGGGTGATGAAGAAGTGCGCGCTCGCTGACTTCCAATAAATCTGGCAAAACGGTTTGTTGAGACACGCTCGGCCGTCATATGTTTTGGAGGACCAAATCCTTATATACTTCGAAAGTCTGCTATGTGGGACGAATTCAGACCCGCGAGCGTGGCGGCGCGCGCATGTGGCCTGCATGGCATTGCGCGGTGCGTGGCCGCGCACCGGGCGCACGCTACATCAACGCGGAGGCACCACGCGATGAGAACGTGGGCTCGAACATCAAAGGATCTGTATCTGGTGTCAGCAAGTGCGCGGGCGGAAAGTCGGCAAGCTCCCGTATGGGAAGCAATGTGTTTAATTGCGTCTCTCTGCTGGAACGCTTGCAAGACTAATATGTCTGATTTGAGTTCGTCAGTTGCGCGCGCGTGTGGAAGTCGTGGTGCTTGTTGCCGCCAAGAGTTATTGCTAGAATGTGTTGGGGCAGCGGTCCTGGGATGGTACGAGCCCAGTGGACAATGGAGCGATGAGGCAGAGCCATCTGCACACTACCAAACAAAAGGGCGAGAGGGTTAACTCTGGGCTCGGGGGGGGGGCTGGTAGAGTCTGCTCTTCTCGACAGAACCTATGTGGCGCAAACCCGGCAGAGCCTCGGGACACCCGCCCAACGCACGAGGTGCCCTCGAAGCGCCCACGGGCGGGCAGCAGGCGAGACCGCGGCGGACCCAGCCAGCGCACGAGGCGCCGACGAGGCGTCCACAGGCGGGCACCGGGCGAAACCCCGGCTGGCCACAAGGCGCCCAATAGGCGCCCACGGGCACCCACGGGCGAGCACCACCGGGCGAAGGCTGGGACCCACCAGGCGCAGGGCACCAGACGAGACCCCGGCTGCCCCGACCAGCGCACGAGGCGCCATCGAGGCCCCCACGGGCGGGCACCAGGCGGGAAAACTTGGCTGCCCCAGCCGCCACACGAGGCGTCCACGAGGCGCCCACGGGCAGGCTCCGGGCGAAAGCTCGCCTGCCCACGAGGCGCCCACGGGCGGGCAGCAGGCGAGACCGCGGCGGACCCGCCGAGCGCACGAGGCGCCCACAGGCGGGCACCGGGCGAAAGCTCGGCGGGCCCCTCCGGGTTCCCTCGGGAGGGGAACAAGAACCCAGAAGTCCAGGCACCGTCTGTTGCGGAAGATGTCTGGTGTGCGAGGCTGCATTGGGAGATGCCCGAGGAGATCTACCAATCCCGATGTCGCCGGCACCTTTTGATGTAGGGGCCTGAACGAAAGGCTCGTGGCCTTGAGGGGGCCCAAATGGCCTAGAGAAGCCGACGGAGTTCTCCTCCCAGGGGGGCATCTAGCTAGGAGTCTTGTGAAGGCAAGGGGAGACCTGAGGGGAGGTGCAGTCCCTTAACGAGCATCTCGCTGAACGTGCGGAGTGACTTCCTATCGGTTGCATGCCAGCTCAACTCAACCGGGCCAGCTCGGTGAGCAAAGTAAGCAAGCCTTTGTCGGAGACTGGTAGGTGAGATCGAAGCGAAACGGAGTCACCCAACCTGGAAGTTGGTTCCCGGGCTGTCCCTCGGTTGCCCCATGGTTGTCTTGCGGTTGTCCCGATGGTTGTCTCGATGGTTGTCCTGTGGTTATCCCGCGGTTGTCCCGCGGTTGTCCCGTGGCTGTGTTGTCCCGTGGTTAACCCGTGGATGTCGCGTGGCTGTCCTGTGGTTCTCTCGAGGTTGTCTCGTGGCTATCCCGTGATTGTCCCGCGGTTGTCGCGAGGTTGGTTTGTGGTTGTATTGTCGTTGTCGCTGCGTTTTCCCGTGGTTGTCGCGTGGTTGCCCATGTCTGTCCCGTGGTTGTCCCGTCTCTATTAGTATCACGAGCTCGACATATTTGCACATCACATGTACAGCGTAGTGAACGTGATGGTGATCGAAAACACGATAGAATCTGGAACATGAGACCGGCAAGTATATTGATATGGGTATTGATCGATACGATTTGAGACCGACATGTGTAGATTTATATCTATATCTCTCTATATATATATATATATACATACAAGACTGCTGTGGCGCTTCGCGCC